ATTTTATGCCACTATTACTAATCACCAAAAGTCAAACTTTAAGAAAATAAAAATTTGATACTCCCTTATCAGCAACTGAAAAAACTGCAAATTACAAAAAAAAACCTGAAAATACAATTGGACATAGTTACTTCTGCTACTCCTTTGAAGTGGAAACCAGCCATATAGCACTTTTTACATCACTCAAGAACTCTACAAGTCAAACCCATCTGCTATCAAGCATAAGGCCTAGCAGGCTACTCAGTCTTTCCCAATGGCCTGATCTTTTCCTGCATCTTCTTACAGAAATCATAGTCACTTTAACAGTAACTCTTGTGAGTCTTGACACTTTAAGAATTTGGTTCATGGTAGCGATATGGTTTAGTGGTGGACTCGGCAGTGCTGGGGTAACAGCTGGATTTGATCTTAAAGGTCTTTTCCAACCTCATTGATTCTATGATATTTTTCTGACACCATCTCTTTTGCATCCTTTACTTTATTTTTCTACTTTATCTAATAAACACCGTAAAGTAGCAAATTTATAGCCACAAACTTAATTACAGTAGATCATAGAGCCACTTAAAAACATGCATTTCATCATCAGGCATTTTTTTCTTCCAAATTACAACTTCAATAACAAAATAAGATATAATAATACAGACATTTAGTTAGTTGGTATGATTCCAAACATCATTAAAAGGAGATGAAAATGTACTTCCAAAATGCCAATTTATAGCTGTTACTATTAACTGTAGTATCACAAATGTGCCTATAACAAGAAAGGAATGATTCTGAGCAATGAAGCACCTGTATGTCACTATTTGGTTAACACAGAATCATAGAATAGTTAGGGTTAGAAAGGACCTTAAGATCATCTAATTCCAACCCTCCTGCCATGGGCAGGGACACCTCACACTAAACCATGTCACCCAAGGCTCTGTCCAACCTGGCCTTGAACACCGCCAGGGATGGAGCATTCACAACTTCCCTGGGCAACCCATTCCAGTGCCTCACCATTCTTACAGTAAAGAACTTCCTTACATCTAATCTAAACTCCCCCTGGTTAAGTTTGAACCCATTATCCCTTGTCCTATCACTACAGTCCCTAATGAAGAGTCCTTCCCCAGCATCCTTATAGACCCTCTGCAGATACTGGGAAGCTGCTATGAGGTCTAAAAGCCCCATTATAGAAGGCCATAAAATTGGTCAGGAAGGATTTCCCCTTAGTGAAGCCATGCTTGCTGTCACCCACCAACTTGTTGTTTTTCATGTGCCTTAGCATGCTTTGCAGGAGAACCTGCTTCAAGATTTTGCCAGGCACAGAGGTGAGACTGACTGGTCTGTAGTTCCCTGGGGCATCCATTTTCCCATTCTTGAATGGGGGTTATATTTCCCTTTTTCAAGTCGGCAGGAACTTCACCTGACTGCCATGATTTTTCAAACATGATGGACATCATGAGAACTACGAAAATATTTATTCTTCAGTAAATTTACTGCTGAGGGTCCTCCATCAGTCCTGAAGTTAAAACATTAGTATTGATACTTTCTTTTCTATCTGTAGTATCTGAAAGAAAGCATTAATAGCTTCTTGATCAAACATACAAGCCACCAGTCAATCCAGACACATGCAACCTTTATATCAAAACTATCCCCTGTAGCATGAACCCTCTGAACACTTTAAGTTAGCCTTGACAAATTCCCTCTTTTCGCCAAGAGATTCCTATGGTAAACATCTGCTTTATCACTAACCAAGCATTTTTCAAAAATCTTTTTCCATCCAGGTAAGAGTTTGGTAAAGTCTAATCAGGGAAAGCATCCCTTAAAATGCTCCCTTTTTCATTTTTCAAACTTTATAATAATTCAAATTGTTATAACCTAATAACAAATATGCTGGATACTTTCAGGATATTCACCAACTCCCCTGAAAAAAATGAAAAGCATAATAACACCACCAATAAATCATTATTGTGGTGATCAAGGATTCTTTTGTCTCCAAAAGCACTCCAAGATAGCTTTCTACCCTATATTTCAGCTGATAGCAAAACACACCAACCAGTATGCATTTTAAAGTATAGTTTGCAAGGAGCTAGAAAATTATGCTCCAAAATATTGACAATACCTACTACTATATTTTGAATATGGGTTTAATTTTAGTCCCACACTAGCAAAGTTCACTGGACAAAAATGTGCCTAATTCCTGTGCAAATAAAACTAACTTTTATTCAGTTTTAGCATCACTTTCTTAATGGTTTCAATAGCAGAAGGATTAGCTCATTTATCCCACTAGTAAAAACCAGAGACCTGAGGACCCTCATTCAATTTCTGATGTTACACTTCTCAGACTGCAAAATTCATGAAAGAATCAGTGAAAAGGGGGAATCATAGAATCACAGAATGGTTTGGATTGGAAAGGACCTTAAGATCATCCAGTTGCAACCCCCTGCCAGGGGCAGGGACTCCACACACTAAACCATGTCACCCAAGACTCTGTCCAACCTGGCATTATATGTCTAATACTAAATAGGAGCAACCCTGTAGTTTAATCAAAGCAATACTGTTTCAGTGCTAGTTTTAAATAAAATATTATAGAATAATATTATGCTGCAAATAAAATATAATGTCAAATATCTGTTATTTTTAGAAAATATGCAAGTCAGCCATATTACTTCTGCTAGAACTTTGTAGACAACAAAAAGCAAACTTTCCATGGATCTCTGCAGACAGGGAAAAAGAAATTTTCCATGTTATTACACAAAAGTTTTGCAGCAACCATTTAGCAGTCTGAGAAAAAAAATGGTGACAATGGGAACATAAAACACCACTACTGTATTTACTACAAAAACTAACTGAAGTGATTGCCAGGCCTAGAAAACAAGATGCAATCTGTTCTACATGGAACGGCATGTATGAGAATAATGTTGATGTTATGGTCAGAGAAGCATTTCTTTTTACGGTAATAGTATAGTCTAAACATTTTCCTTCCATTAAAAAAAAACAACCAAAACAACCACCAAAACACTTCCATGATCAGAGTGCAGAAGGCAGACAATGTTCTGGAGATGTAGACTGCATCCAAACCCTGCTTTAAACACGTTCCCTCCAAGTAAAAATACAATAAACTATTGTGCAGAACTGTTTGAAGAGTAAATAAAAATTCTTCAGAGTAGTTTCTTCCACCAGTGTTCCACTCGACTGCTTGCAAGGAAATCTGAATACTAGCTAGGAGCTTCTGGCTGTAAATATCATTGGTATGTCAGATTTCCCTCTTCCCTGCCTAAACTTCTTCTCAAATTACGTTCAGATTCCTGTGGTACCATAACAACTTCAATACAGCATGTATTTCAGTATTCTGTAAAGGTTTCATTCCCATTTCCACTCCCAATTACTGCTGGTCTACATTTTTCATCCTGGCTGCACTGCAGTATATATATCCTTACAATATCTGTGAGGTCTTGCAGCTTTAACACAAGATTGTTAACTACTATATCAAAACCACATCAATATATGTACTGAAGTGATATCATATATTATATGATATGCAACAGATTTCACCATGTTTTTATCAAAACGTGTCAAAGCAATGCAACTCCTGATGACAAAATAAGGGAGTCATGCAGAAAATGGTTGTTTGGCCTTTTGTGGAAGTCATACGAACTTTCTTTCAATTCCATTCATGGGAATGAATACTCCTCAGATGGGCAACTTAGTTTTTCAAGTTTAAATGAGGATAAAAATCCAAAACAAATTCTGATAAAACTGTTTTGCTTTGCCTGCTATGGATCAATATAATGTGTAATACCAAAACACTGCTTCTCACCCCCAGGGGGAAATTGCAGATGATCTTACATTCACTTGGAACCCAGCACAAGCTTTCTAAATGGCCACAAACCATTCCTAAGTATTTCAGGAAGATACCAGAATCTGCATTCACTGTACTCTGCAAAAACCCTGTGCAGAGCATGAAAATTAGTATTAATGTGTACCTAAGATAATTTGTATTTTTTAGTCTACAGAAATCATTTGTGAAAAATTATACAGAATACTGTTCAGACTCCTAAAGGAAACTGTTGAGGTGTATTAATGTCATATTTTATTTCTGTTCTAACTGTGGCATGCTATCTTTAACTACTTTATTCTAGAACCCAGTAAAAAGGCTGGACTTGAAACTAACTAGAGATTGCTTATGGTTGTTTTAAGTTTAGAACATTCATTACTTCACCTGAAGGAGTGTCTAACTGATAGCCTTGAGCAAGGATAGAGTACAGCACTATCTTTTTCTTTACAGACCATTCTCCAAACTTTGCACATGATCTCACATAGCCATATTCACTAAATCAAAGGAGAATTTGCAAAGTATCACAGAATCACAGAATAGATTGGGTAGGAAAGGACCTCAAAACCCATCCAGTTCCAACCCCCTGCGATGGGCAGGGACATCTTCCACTAGACCAGGTTGCTCAAAGTATCTGAACAATGCAGGACTATTTAGAGTGCAGTCTGAAGAACACAAGTACATTATCTATATATAGTATTTTATTTGTATAACTTTCATCCATTATATAAACCAATGCGCAAACACTGGAGAAAAAGTAGGGCCAATGCTTATTACTGTGTGTACACATCTATATTTTATAGTTCTGTTGGAATGTGTGCATGTAAGTACATATATATATTACAGCATTTATATTAATCTCCAAAAAATTAGGACTAACCTGTTTGTGCTAATAACTGGAGAGAATCTAAAGCCAGCTAAACTTACGTGAGATGCTCCTACATGGCTTGGTAAGGAAGGATTCAGCAGAAGTTAACTATCAACCATATCTTCCAATGAAGCCTTCCCTAACCTACTCCTATTTTCCCACTTTCCTGTGAAATTGATGTAGTTTGCATCAAACTCCTACTTAATAAGTCTACTACATCACTTCAAAGGACAGTCTTCCATAAAGCACATGATGAAATACATAAATTTAAGCACTTAAAGCTGTGTGGCATTTTTTGAACAGGTCTATACAGACTCTTACCATCTCTTTTGTATCTTCTGCTAATGGCAAAAACGTAGCTTCCAGAATAGCAACTTGATCAGTGCTGAGCTTCTGCCACAGACTAATCAGCATAATCACCAGATGGGTGGCACTTTTCAGCTTTGTGAATGCCTGGAATATGTTGGCTTGATTTTCCACTGATGCATCTGCTAGAGCTATTACCTGCAAAAATCACAAACATCTGTTAAGGATAATTTTACCATCCATGAACACTTAACATTGAAATTACCTTTGGCACACTTCTATTTTCCTTTAGAAGATCCTGAGGAATTCTGTTTTTCACAAACACAAACCACAAAGTATTAAATTCATTATCAAGATTTTTCTTTTGCATACCCAAGATAACAGGATCAATCTATCTAGTATAATCAGTGTAGAAAGGATTGTTTCGAGCATATTCTTCAGGCATTCCTGAGCTTGATTCCCATCATAATACATAATAACACACTAACTTTCAGTTTTATATCACACAGGACAAATCTCCAGATGACCAGCACGCCTACTGTATGAATCAAAAACAATACATTGATTTTATGCAATTAAAAATGCAGTATGTAATTATTTCCAGATGAACAGAACTGCAATCTGTTATTTTATTAGCTCTCGAGTCTCTCCATCTTTTGCACTAGTTGCTTAAGCTTTTATGCTAAGATGTAAACATTATGGATCATGTATATGAAGGCAGCATCACTTCACTTGCCAGACATCATGAAAAAAATCAAACTGAAACACCAGATTCACTTCTTCTAAGATGATAAAATAGTTGTGTTGAGTACTTCAAGATGGGGAAAAACAGAAGAGCCATTATATGATATTCAACTCAGTTCCAAAATAACTTGTCACTGTATATAATATTGTAGACTCACAGCATTACAAAAATTGTTATTCTGAGAAACTTTGCTATAAATGCCTTCTTTCTTGAAGTACAATGTTTAGATATTTTCCATCGCCAGTGAAAAGTGAAGATAACAGTGATTTCACTATGCAATTTCAATATGACATGTCAATATGACAAGAGATTTTCCACACTGTTGGCACTGAACTACTTCAGCTAAAGGAAAGGGGTTTATCCTGGGTGAGCACAGCTTACAAGACCTGTTCACATGAACACCACTGCATCTTCATGTTGGCTGGATAATACTTGGCTTACAGCAGTGCTGATTACCTTCACTGCCATTTAAATCAACCCAAAGCACCTCCCTCAATCACATTCTCCTTTTGTTTACTTATCTGCAAAATGGGGTAATAGGTGCTTGACTGGAATTGTGAAAAGCCTTGCAGAAATGCAGTTAAATTGTAATTAGTATTACAACAGAATTTACAAAGGAAAAACTTGCAGAGCTTGATCCATTAGCATTTGGCAACATCAGGGAAACGAAAATACTATACGATGCATCTTCAGCCGGGAATTAAAGCCAACCAGCTGTTAGCATTTGGTGAAGCAAAACTATTTTTAATCTGCAACACTGGCATTAGAGACGAGTGTGTGTGTTCCCTCCAAACTCCCATGTGACTGGGAAGATAAAGAAAACAGAGTTTTAGGGAACGATAAATATGAAACATTTCAAACAAAATGTGTTGATAGCTTTTGGTTTATGTTTTAAGATGTAACATTTCCAAATAACATGGAGAACCCACAGGACACCCAAGAGCCCAAACACTACATAAATTAGGGCCCAGTAACAAACAAAACCAAAAAAAGCCCAGCTAACCATGAGAAGAAGTGAGATGTTAATCCCAAATAGAGAAAACCAACATGACATAGTTCAGTTGGAAGAGATTAATAGTATCACAAACATACAACCTGATGTAATCGTGCCTCATCAGTTTGCTCAGACAACAGCTATGATGCTCTTCATACCTCACGTTCTACAAAAGGTTCAGTTCCACACTGCCATTATATTTCAACAGTTATGGGTGACAAAGCTCCACCACAGACACAACACTAAGTAGTACCCTACACTAGTTACATCTCACCACTGCAGCCAGTCATTGCACAGCTATACAGCTTCACCTTTCTGAAAAAGCAAGCTACAACAGTGAGGTTCTCCTCAGTCTAACAGAGGCCTTCAAACATCTCATTGCCTTTCCTGTCCAATAGGCATTTGAGAATTCATGAATTAATTCCTCGATGATCTCTCACTCTGTGCTATATTTCAACTTAAACTGTATAACTCTGGCCTTTTACATGGCATTTCACCTTAAGGAACCTTCATTTCAGAATTTGCTTTCTTTCCATTTTATAATCAAAGGAGGTGCTCACCTCTTCACAGGCTATACACGTAAAACAAATCTCCCAGTACTCCCAAACAATACCTAATGTACCAAGCCATTAAGCTGTTTTGAAAGCACCTTCATAAGAAAACATGAAAATACAGCTGTTAGGGAAGTTTGCCTTTGGTACAAAGTTCTAAAGTTCTAATGCACATTAATACAAGACAAATATACACCAGTGACAGGCCTAAGTTTCTAAAGGAGAGGTGCAGTCTTGGAGTGTTGCAGGTCACTAAAACACACAGCAATTAAATCTTTACATAACTGCATATATACAAGTTCAACTTCTATACTTTCAGAGAAATCAAAAAGGGGGAAAAAAAACCCTCATTTCTAAGACCTAATCATTCTGTTAATAGATGAATTGACCTAATACAGCTTTCTGAGATCTGGAACACCCAGGATAACACAATATGAATCATAATACTACAACGTATGATATACACATGGCATACACGGCCATGGTAGCTTTAAAAAAGCCTATACCATATAAAAAAGGTTGCTTGGACAGCACCCCTTAAGATATGTCGAGCTGAAAGCCAAAGCAACAGAGAGCAGCTGGAAGAACTAAAGATAGTCTGAGATTGTAAGGTTCCACAGTAAGTACTTGATCTCAGGCAAAAAGAAGAAATCTTCCCTCACAGAGGAAAATTACTGTAAACATTTCCCAGGCCATCAGGTGAAAACCCCACCTATACCGCATAAGGCGTATCACTGCCTATTTAACAATTTTCTTTTTCCTTCTTTAATGTCCCAAAGCTTTCAAACAAAACTAAAAATCAGGTTTTCAGACTTCCTAACAGCAATGGAAGAAAAGAAAGTAGCCAGTGCAGGAAACTGGCATGGGCTGAAAGTACACTATTGAATGTATGTTCTTACAACTGATCAAAACTTCATTTTCATTTATAACCTTAAAGAAAGCTCATATTGAATATTTTTACTAAATTTCATATTCACAGGTGCACAGGTAAAGCTGAAATCCAGAAGCATTTTTAACATCTTGGGAATTTCCACCCTCAACACTATTGCCAGAATCCAAGTGCGATCATTTCCAAGCATAGAGCATTTCTCATGTTTTCAACCTTAAAGTGTTTAAGCAGAAAGATTTCTCTTCATACTCTTTAAGGTCCCTTCCAACCCATAACCATTCTATGATCCTATGCTTATTTATTGCTAAGTAGACCTCAGAAGATGTCAATAATTTGAAAAATGCAAACTAATGGTGATTTAAGTTTTAAAAACATTCAGATTTCTCTGTTATTACCGCTTTCTTAAAGATATTTTTTAGCGCACTATTTAACATCCAGCACTAACCTAAAACTTAATAATCCCTCTTGGAAAAGGCTTGCAACATACCCACTCTTGTACATTCAGACAAGTTCCTTGGGGCAATAATGAACGTCGCTCTCCCAGGCTCATTCCAGTAATACAAGAAAACACAAATACAATCCCAAAAATACAAAATGCCTTCTTATTAGCTGGCTACAATTTTGAAGAAAACTGAAAAACTAAAGGCCAAGAAGTGAGTATGAATTGCCAAGGTACTTTGTTTTAAGTTGGTAACACATTTTTTTGGAGGCCCTAGCACCATTGGGGCTGGAAACTCTCACAGGTTTTATGCCATATTCTAAACCAGAAAACAGGAAATGTGTCTGACAATTTGGCTGGGGGGGGGGGGGGGGTTGGGTTTCTTCAATCAACCAAGAAAAACATAAATGCCCAGCAATGGTGAAATTCAGCCAACTAGTGTTGCTTTCACTAGTTCTATCACACTGGGTTCAGCTTCTAGTAAATTTAAAGTATCTTCAGTTTTGGCAGAAACCATGTTTGAAGAGAGGAAAAGTATGGCATTTAGGAATACAGTCACTTTACATTTCACCCATAGCCCTTCAGAGTAAGTCTTTATTTTTAATTTTTAAAATAGGCGAAATAACATCTGAAATGTAATTACTATTAAATGGACACAGAGATGGTGAATTACCAAGACTATTATGTACTCCACAGTAAATTAATCCATAACCAAACCTTTATACCTGGCTCAAAAGAGACATTCTGTACACAGTTACAGAAGCAAAAACATAGATAACAAGCACATGGGTCTTCTCCTGGCAATTTTTCTTATGGAATACTTATTGCAAGGTAGTTCATTGATCTGATCCCGTCCAACTATTTTTAAACAAAATCAGAAAGCAGGATGTTAATGCATATAAATCAGAAAATAAAATGCTGAGAAATGCTAGGATTATTGCTTGGCCATTCCTATTGCAACAGGACAACGACTACTACTCTACTTCACCTTTTCACAGATTAACTCATTTCAGAGAAGGAAACACCACTCAGTTATTAAATCTAAAACAAGATCTAACAAAGTAATTTTTTATGATTTAAAGAAGTCTCCATCACATATCTGAGTTCACCTGGAACATGTAAGCATTTAAAGGAAAGCATTTTTTTTCCTTACAAGCCTCTGTCTACCTTGCACATCTGGTATGCAGCCACATAAAAAAGTTAAGACACCAGGCCAGCAAACTTTTATAACTGATAAAATAAGTGATAATACCCACCCAATTAATTAAAATCCCAAATATCCCTTATTCTGGGAGTAAACATTTATGGGCAATTCCCAAATGAGTTTACAAAGTTAAAAAAACAGTGATTAGCAGCCCAATTCCCTGCGCAGCCCACCTCACTCAACAGCCATTGTGCACAGAGCCTTTGACAGGTGACTAAAGCTTTATGGAATGCAGGCAAAGATATCCATGTCAGAAAGTGATCTTTATCAAACACTCACCTCAAGCGAGATACTTCTAAACACTGTGGCATTCCCACAGCACTGCAGTGGGTACGGGAGAGATCATGTTGAGATTAAGTACCTCAGGCCACAACTA